CACACACACACACACACACACACACACACGTGACAAATAAATAACTGAAGCTTACCCCCCAAAAACAGAAAAGAAAAGAAAAGAAAAAGAAAAAGAGGGAAAGAGAAAGCAGTTCCTCTATAATTATTTGATCAAGAACCTTAAAGTAATCCGTTTTCTGGAATGCTCAGCACGGGGCCTCATTTTTTTCTGCTGAGCTCTTACTATGCAAAATCACACGTTTAAGCCTAAACCCCATGCATGCAAGCATTTTTGTCCGATGTAACCGATGAGGCTTAATTACCAGCCGATTTGGCGGCATGCCATGAGCGGTTCAACACATAAGTGAATCAGACACTAAGCATTAACGTTTCATTCACCAGAAAGCAAATTAACCGCCCCAGTGAGCAACCCGTTCGAAAAATTGTCCCAACTACCCAGGTATCCCTGTCGTCCCAGGAATTCCATTCTTGACTCACTGTGTGACGAACGCATCGCGGTCATCAGTTATGTTTGTGCGTTATGTCTACGCGCAGAGCTTAGCAAGCAGTTTTGGTGGACTCGCCAACAAGGCATTTATCTCTAAAAATAAACTTTGTTAGTAATTTACGATTTGCTATGCATTTTTGTTTTAATCTGATTCGGATCGTCGGGATTCTTCAGGTAGTCAGCACCGGTAATGAGGCGAAAACATACTTGTCCCATGACTGTACTGAATACGCGGTATGCCAAGACCGCAACGGCCTGTTGGCCGGCCATTGACACTAATAAGGGGGTTGGAAATCAGTCTGGTTTCTCCATTACAATAGGCGTATGTTGTGTGTTCACTGACCTCTGGCTTGCTGGAATCCGCGGTGGTCAAGCGGTCAACACCATGAAATTTGCGGTCTCGATAGTCACGTGAAATTCAGGTTTGCTATACACGTTTTTAGTATGGTCACTGCGCTTTTATTTGGGTCTAGGTCCTTACCTACTTTCCACGTGATCGCCATTGTTGGCTTATCTCTCCTGTACTTTAAAATTGTTTAAAGGTTAACATAACACAAACAACACATCAACCAGCACAATAATCAGCACTTTCTGCATAGCTTTGAATCAATAGCAAACACACCGAGCAGGGTTTTCTGTGAACCCCCCCCCC